GGAATAGGTTGTGCTGGAATAGGATTGAAGGCACTTGGTAGAGATATTTTCACCATAGTCTCTTTTACAACCTCTGGGTTGGTGAGTTGTGGTTCATGTGTTGTATCAGGACAGTCCAGTTCGAATAAATCTGGTTTATTGCTTGGCCTCTTTCATTGTTTTTTAACCGACCTCAAACTCAAGGCAAAGTCGTGTGAATTCGAAAGTCTTACAGACTCGTTGATAATTTTAAAGGAAAGAATTGTGGCAGGTATTAAGAGTGACAAAGTCAGAGCTAGACTATGTAGAGAGTGTTACGCACTGACTTCTCTTGTGAGAAATTAATCTCCTATTTTAAATTTATAGCTCGTTCAAACAGTGCCTAACAAAAAATAAAAATAAATCTGTCTCCCATTAAAACCCATCAATAATAACTTTTGTAAACCCTTTGTTTCCCGATAGGATCCCAATCCCGGAGGATATCCAATCGGATCCCGTTTCCCGATGGGATCCCGCTTTCCGATGTATACCGGTATCCGGAGGTATCCTGACCCCGTTGGGATGACGATCCCGGTTGGATCCTGATCCCGGTTGGATTAGGATCCTGGTCATTATCCTGATACGGGGCCGTCCATAAAGTACGTCACACTCCAGAGGGGGGGGGGGGGTGTAAGAAAGTGTGACAGTTTGTGACAGGGGGGGGGGGTGGTTTCCAGGTCATGTGTGACGTCACACATTAATTTTTTTACAATTTTATTTCTAATTTATTATTTATTTTTTTTAGTAGAATTTAATAGCTTTAAAAATCATTGTCAAAAATTTTGTGAAACATTTGAATTAGTTTTATGTCAAAATAGCATGAAATGCGTGTCTCCTGAATGTGTTGTTGACGATTCCACTCGCTAGGAGCGCTAGTATGCTGTTACAAAGCCTTGTTTTATGTATAGCCTTGCCGAGATCAACAGGAGTTTTCAAAGTACAACCATATGATCTTTATTGTCCATCTTTGCAGACCAGCTTACTTGATCGAATTGGCAAAGTATGTCACTTATACTTAGCCTCACAAACAATGTTGAAGAAACATGCAGGACAACACAGAGCTCAGGCTCGGGAGAATGTGCCAACCCAAACTGTTCCAGAATCAACTCAGATAAAACACATCCGTCCTTTGAGAATCGCTGCATGAAGGCAAAGAGAACTCATGGCAGTTATTGTCAGAAGAGAAAATGCACATTCAAAGGATGTCGAGTGGCTATATGAGGATGAAGTTGATCTGTCTGCAATTATCCCTCCAGGAAACGATGATGGTGAAAGATTGATACCAGTCGTAACTATGGATGAACACTTCACTTCACCATGGATGGATGATGTCCAGTGAATATTTTTGAATTAAACACAATTCACAGGCCCATAATAACATATTCAATTAAAGCACACGAGTTTGTTACATAATTTGTCAATCTAGTCTTTTTTTAGTCAAATTGTTTTCTTTTCTTTTTATTATTTAATCATTGGGTGAGGTCAAGTTTCGCTGATCTACTTCTTACCTGTGTAAAAAAGATTGCATAATCGCAAATTATCTAAAACTAAAAAATGCAGAAGATAAATGATGTGTGTTATATAATTGTCTAGTCTAATTTTTGCAATTTTTTTTTCAAATTCAATCTAGATCGAGTTACTGCTTCAATGAATAACTGTGACAACTGTTGACAATTAATTATTCTACAATTAAAGTAATTTTAATAATGTGATAATTCTTTTAAGTGGAAATTTTATATTTTAATAGAGTTTAATAGTGAAGTGTGTTTTAGATTAAATTTTAATTAGGTGTTAATTTAAAAACATTTTTGTTCGAAAATGTGAAGTACTATAGGGGGGGGGGGAGGTCCGAGATTTGTGATAGTTTGTGACAGGGGGGAGGGGGGGGTAAAAATGGTCAAAAATAGCGTGGCGTACATTATGGACGGCCCCTACCGGCTGGATCCTAATCCCGATTGGATCAAGATCCTGGTAGGATTACGATGCGGGTAGGATTAAGATACATGTGGGATCCCGATTCTTGTGGGTTCCCGATCCCGTCGGGATCCATTTTCCCAGTGTGATCTCGATCCCGGTTGGGTTATAATCCCAGTGGGTTCCCGATCCCGTCGGTATCTCGATCCCCGTGGGTTCCCGATCCCATTGTTATCTCGATCCCGGAACATTTTAGATTAAAATTAATATCCTCATCGAAACGTGTAAAAATGACTTTTCTAAGTAATTATTTGTCAAATATGAAAAATTATACAACTAAATGCACGAATATAACTATATTAGGCCTACATTAAAGTTGAAAGAGGGGCCACAGTGGGGGCCCATTCCATAATTTTACTGAATTAGTTTTGCCTGAGATGGGGCCCTATAAAAATCAGTCAGATAAATGATGGAGTTAAAATTTAAAATCTGTCCAATTAAAATCTAGTTTAAAAAGGCCATAGAGAGGCCTTTAACTTTCTAAAGTTATCGGACTTTCTGGAAAATTCTACATTGGCCCTGAATGGATTGGATATTACTAGTTTTAAATCCACCGATATTTCATTACTACGGACAATGAAGGGTGTTGCTACCAAGCTAGGCCGAGATCTATCAAATCACACAGAACCTATGTCTAAGCCTAAGCCTATTGATATTTAAATAGCTTATATTAGGAAACAATATGGGGCCCCTGCCCCAGAGTAATGGAATTATGAGTTCAGTACCCTTCGTTATTTGAATATGGATAATCAAGTGTATGTGCACTAAGTTTGGTCAAGATCCATCTATTCATTAGGTGTATTTGTTGTTAATTTTATTTATATAGCTCATTTAAAGGAAAAAAAGAATTCGGGGCCACCGGCCGCAAAACGGTATGTTATAAAAAGTTCATAACCTCTTCAGAGTTCCTTTCGGATTATGAAGAATATAAGTGCCGAGTTTGTTCAAGATCCATCAATCCATGTAAAAGCCTTTGTGGAACAAACAAACCCACACATTTTCATTTTTATTTATAGGCCTATATATGATGTCAAAGAGGATGCAGGTTTAACTATTAAAAGATGATGTAGGCTTCTACACTCTACACGTTAGGAAAGTAGAGTTAGGGGTCATCCATATAGTACGTACGCAAACAAAATCACACCCCCCCCCTTGCTGGCCGCGTAATTTTTTGGATACCCCCCCCGCCATGGGCGCCCGCAGGTAGGGGCAAGGGGGGTCACTT